ATATATATATATATATATATATATATATATATATATATATATATATCAAATCAGAACACCTAAAAGGTTGAGAACGCGAGAACAGTTCTGGACCAATCAATATATAATGGCATATTAGTAATTGTATATTTTAATTAAATTGATATAATATAAATTTCAATCAAATTCCCTTAAATTTAGGATTAGTTACCAAAAACAAGAAATATTCGATTTTTTATTTTTCTTATTAATGGAATATAAAAAACATTTTTACCAAAATTTATTTTAAAACTGAAAAAAAAAAATTAATTTTTTTTCTTAAAAAAAAATCAACTTTTTTCTCTTATTTCATGTTTTGTTTTTTTTCAAAAAAATGAATATAAATCCAATCCCAAATCAATACACTTGTATTCACAAATGAAAATTTTCTTCAAAAAACCTAATACTACTCTAATTACAAATGAATACACATCAATTTACAAATAATCCAATACCTTTTTTACATCAAAAAATAAAAAATAGTGTAAAAATTATCATTTCTTTATAAAAATGAATAACTCTAATCATAAATAAATATACTCATTCACACATAAATAGACTGCTATTCATAAATAAATAATCTTTCACACATGAATACACTGATATTCACAAATGAATACACTGCTATTCATAAATAAATACAAAATAAAAATAATGTAAAAATTATCATTTCTTCATAAAATGAATACCCCTAATCATAAATAAAAACACTCATTGGTCACACATGAATACATTGCTATTCATAAATAAATACAATCATTCACACATGAATACACTGTTATTCAAAGGTTCATTTTATATCCCAGTAAACCCCAAAAAGCACCGTATCGGAGATTCATATGCATTCTCCAAAATCCAAATCAATACCTCTTGCCGATTCCGATGAGGGATCGTTCCGACCAATTCCAGTAAACGTCGGCGACATAATGATGAAGACGATTTCACACAGATTGAAAACCTCCATTTTCAGTCTCTCTATCATCGTCCTCATTCTATCAATTTCCCTTTTTCGCTTCAGCAAACCCCTTCATAAATACACCCTAACCCTCGAAATATCACCAAAATCATAAGAACAAGAAGGGATACTAGCTCAGAGAAACTACATAGTAAGATTTATCGAGTACAAGAAAGCGGAACATCACAAGGAGTATCTCAAGCAGAGCACGAATGAGAAATTAAATGACTCTTCGTCTTGGGAATGGATTAACAGAAATAAACCTGCTTCTAAATTCCCTACTGACTTCGGAGTCGTGGCGATCGATGATGAAGTGGCAAGTTCGATCATCGGGGAGTTTGAGAGGCTGAAAATGGTGAAAGATGTTACAGTTGATTCAAGCTATCCGTTAAGGAACTTGCTTGGTGGAGATAAGAACGAAAAGCAAGAGAAAGTCGGAGTGTTTTCGAATGGTAGAAAGAGCCCTGGGAAGATCTTCATTTCCATGTCATTTGGTGATGGCGGTGATAATGTGGCTGCGGAGGCGTGCCCTATA